AGACTAAATTTCTTCAGTGGTCAGAGAGAGCCATGCCATGAAATAGGGAATGTAGGAAAAGGGACGTCTGGAAAATAGCTGAAGTTTATGGTATTCAAAGGGTGTTCTGGATTCCTGGTCAGAAGTAAAGACAGAGTGTTAAAGCCAGGCACAAAGAAGCTTTGTAGAATTGAATTCTACTTCTCTTGTGCTATAAAGGGATTTTAAAAAACATAACAAAAATCTGATGAAGATTCAACTCTAGTCAAATAGGTAGAAAAATCACTTTGAAATCCAGATTTTCTTAGTTCGGGTTTCATCTGGGAAGAACTGCACACAAGGGAGGAAGCATCAAATGAAAGGTAATCCTTCATTTAGCATGGTTATATTCTTAACTGCAATTGCAACACCCCTGCTATTTCAATTCACCTAAATTTATTCCATCAAGCATACCCTTATCCATCTGTGTGAATTTCAAACACTTTGTTTTACTCTAGTGTTTCCATTTTACATTTGTAAGCAGATGTGCCAATGAATTGGTGAGTACCTGAGAATGCTCACTGCTGTCAGCTACTGGGAAGGGATAGCAAGCAACATTCCCTGTGAGGCCAGGCCAGAAAAATATATAGTCCTAGGTGGGCATAAATGCAGCAGCCTGATCCTTTGGTTGGAAAGCCAGTCTCTCCCAGTAGCCTAGCCCACTCCACAAGTCAGTCATGCTTTTCCTTTCCTTTTGTTTCCTCTCTTTTCTTTGAACCTACCAGGGTTTTTAAGCACACAGAACTTCCAACAGACCACGTACACCTTGAAGGCTGAAAACAAAAGGGAGCCTTGAAATGTGTTCTGATCTCTGGGGATCTAATTAATTTACTAATAGCAGCAAGTGCTCTTACAGCCTGAGCTTGTCACTTCATTTTACTAAGCACGTTTGCTTTGTTACACCTAGTAGCCCCTAAAAAATGAGTTGTGCATCTTCATTTCTTGCTTATTAAAACCACCCAAAAAATCTGTTTGGTTTAATTATATCACTTTGTACTTTCTTGAAATTCAAATGCTTTTCTGTTTAACTAATGGTGTTAATGAATGACATGCATGCAACTTCTAAAAGCACATTTTCACAGCAAGCTGGTGCCTTTTTTCCTAAGGTGTCAGCTCTCTGATGACAGGTGACAAAATTCAGGGATTTTTTCTGTATATCCTAGTATATCAAGAAAACATCTGAATATATCCTGTTGACTTTCCTGGGCTAAGTGAGAGAAATGATCTGCTGAGGACATTTAAGCAGGAACCTCCTCCAGCCAGACATCAATTTGGAGCATTAACTACCTGTTTAAATCCTTTTGGTTAAAACCAATAGGTGAAGAAAATGTTAGTAGGGCTCTCACTCCTTTTATTCCAATGTGGCTTTTGCAACAGGAAAAAAATTTTCCAGGAAAATTGGAAGCATTCATTCACTTCTTTCTCATATGAAGCATCAAGCACATTCAAGATGTCCTTAGTACACAATTCTGTTAAGTGACTTTACCTTAAGTGACTAACTCTTTTCTTCTGAATTTTGCATTTAAGGTTCACTCTCTTCCTGGGTGCCTCTTGTGCTTCTCCCATGTGTCCCTGCTTCCCCTTCACGATCTTAAGATTTTCCTGCCCTGCCTTTGTGAGCAGCTCTCTGCCTTGTCCTTATGCTCTCTCTGTGCTCTCTTCTCAGCAGGAGAGACTTCAAGGAGCAGATTACAACATGGGAGTGCAATTTTGTGTGCAGTTTCAGTCTTAGCTGTGAAGGAAAACAATGCTTGGTGCCTCTTACAGATTCTCCTGCTTGCAAAGTCGTCTAATAATATTTTTGCCCTTTGAGATACCATTTTTAGCTCACTCTCACAGTCTACCGTGTCTTCTCACGTACTTTGTGTGCTTCTTGTATGGTCTGTGGTATGGTTCAGACCCATGGCCTCTTCTTGGTAGCCTTGAGCTTTGACTTCTGCTTGGCTTTGGCTCCCACACTGGCTGGTGGGGTAAGAAAGCATTTGGATTTCCTGTCATCTCCGTACCAAGGTATTATCTGCCCTCTGTAGCTCTCTGACATCAGGATATAACATATTTTCAGTATTTCATAGTGGGGTTTTTTTGTCAGATCTTCCAATGCTTTCCTGAGCTGCTCTTCTGATTCAGTCTGTGGTGGTCTAGTCCCCACACAGGGACTCAGGCTCCAGTTTCAAAGTGTTTGATGAGCAACATCAGAGCAGCAACTTGTTCTCCCACGGTTTTACCTTCCTACACAAATACCAAGCAGTTAAAAACAATATTCTTTTCATGTTTTCTCTCAAGAGCAGCACTCCCCACCTGTCACTGCTCTCATCTCACGATTTGGCACTTCCTGCAGTCCTGACTGTGTATTTGGTCTAGTGGACACAGTCTATGAGCAAGGATAAATTCACTGCACCCTATGCAGACTCTCTGACGAGTGCAGGTTTCTAACACGTGCTCCTGACTCCATCTCTGCCATCCTACTGCATTTGTGGAGGCCCTTTTCCCTTCAGACCACTGCACTCGAGCCATGTCCTCTCCTTAACTCTTCCTCTTTCAGCCCTCTGAAAGGCTTCAGAGGTTTATGTTGGAATGAGTTTCAATTTTTTTAAAAGTACATCAGTTCAGTTCAACTGCTCATTACTCCACAGTGTACTTAAACCAACTTTTTACATGTCAGACAGCTCTGCCAAGTGACCAGTGATTAACTGGCCAGGGGAAGGCTGGAAGCTGGAAGGACCACTTGGCATCATGGTCATAGCAAAGAAGCAGCTAATGGCATCAAGCAGATAATCAGATACATGTGAAGGGGGGGTCAACATGTTACATTTCTGTACATTGAGGAGGTGGTTAGAGATAAGACTGAGACTGTTGATCAGAAAACCGGGGTCAGGAATGCATAAGCGCCCCTAAAGCAAGCATGTGACAATTCGGAGAAAGTAAGCATTTAATATTAGCTGTTAAATCTAAACACAGTAAAGCATATGGAAATATAAGCAGTTTCCAAGCAGTTTCAACTCTAGCCTGTAATGTCACCATGAAGAAGAAAAAGATATTTTCAAAACTCACCTTATTTGCCACCAGGAATGACAAAATCCAGCCATAACCATGATGCTACAAACTGGTAGCATCAGATGGTGACTACAGGCACATTTAAAGGAGAGAAAAGGTATCTGTCTGCACACAGCCAGTGTCATACAAATGAGGACCAGCTCTCTGCTAGTTTGTGTTGATAAATATGCATGACTGCTGAGCCATGAGCCTTTTATTTGTATGTAGTAAACCCAAATAAACCCCTGATTACTCCGAACATCATGTGGGGAGCAGGTAAACAAAATAGTATTTCCTTCCTGGTTCTTTCTAAGGTTTACAACCATTACCATTTTAGTAAGAAAGATTATCATATGTTCATCATATTGATATTTAGAGGCTTCATTAGTACTTGAAAGTAGGTCCCTAAGATGTGTAGAGACTCATTACTGGGGCAGTTTTTCACTGTCAGTAGGTGCACTTAAAACCCTGTTTGCACTAGAGATGTTCTGTCTAGCAACAATCTGAAGTTCACAGGCATGGAAAATTACCTGCAAAATTAGCATATTTAAATTAAGCAACAAAAGGTTCTCATGGAAGAAGAGGAAAAAAGTATGCTGGCCATCTTCAGTGTTTCTGTAGCATGGAATTTAGTTCTGCTGCAGGTTTGTTACTAGCTTGCTTGAGGCATACATTAGTCTGCTTAACAGTTTAATTTTATCTGCAGTAGTGGGAAAGAACATAAAAAAACTGGTAAGTTGGTAGCTTGGATATTTTTCCCCATCCTGTGACTTACAAGAGTGGAGCAAGATTAAGCTAGTGGTTACTCCTGGCAGTCAGACCTTGTGCCCCCAGTAGAGCTTTCTGCCAAGGACAGGATCTTGTGCCCACTGCCACCTTCTCAGAAGTTGCAGAGTGGCTTTCTCACACTCATGTCATCAGGAGGAACTTGACTGAGAGCTGGACACAGTGCCCACCTTGTCCTCCCCCTCATTCTGCAGCCACACTCCTTACTTTCCCCATCCCAAAGGTGGAGATGAACTTGCAGAGCAATGTGAAGCATGCACAGAAACCTTCCTTCAAAAATAGAAGTTCGGTTAGAAAGCAGGATAATGAATAAAATAATCAGGGGTGTGAGGCACGGAAAGTTGCAAAGTTTTCCTATGTCATTCACATATGTAAAATTTCTGGACTTCTTTCTGGGGCTACGAAGTATCCAAGCATGAGCAGTCATAGCCCTGTCTGAGTCTCTGGCTGTCCTACCTCTTTGTAGTTAGGAACCAGCACCACACTAGGTCTTCATTTTTCCCACTTTCATTTTACAATCCCTAGTTGCAAATTGTGTGGAAAATGATTCAACCAAAATGTTAATGGGATGCAATATGAAATAATTCAGATTGCATAATCCTGTTTTAAATGCAACATAAAAGACCTATTATTAACTTTCAAAGGTATGAATGAAAGTCTTGCTGAAATGACACAAGATATTAACCAATATTAACCAAGCTTATTGAGTTTATACAGCCTTTGAACTAGAACTCTTTCTATTACCTAACAGAAAAGGGAGTCCTTTTTGTTTTCCCTACCAAGGATCCAGATGCTGAAAAAATTAGAATGTTTTTCTGGTTTTGTTCACACTAGAGAATAAACACTACGAACTGGTATATTAATGTAGTAAATCTCCCTAGTAATGTGTTATCACTTTTCAGGTATATTCTATGAGATTGATACCAGAGTAAAACTACAAGAAACATTAATACACTTTTGAAAAGCACACTGAAGAATGTATTCACAATTTTGTACATTCTGCTTGGAAGCCTGAGATGCCAATGACTTCTTCAGCATCCTCATGCAGCATGCTCTCCCCTCCTGGCATTGGTGCATGGGCTAGTGTTTACCTAGGACTTAACATGACTTAATTTTTGTTTGCTGGATGTCAATTTTGTTTTGCTGTATGCTTCAATTAACAGGTGTGTATGTAACATAGACTGCAGTGGATACAGTTTTAATCCTGTATGTGCTTCTGATGGAAGTTCCTATAACAATCCCTGCTTTGTCAGAGAGGCATCATGTCTGAGGCAAGAGCAGATTGACATCAGACACCTTGGGCACTGCTCAGGTAGGATTAATTTTGGTTTTCTGGTAAATGTAAATTCTGACATAACTGGCATTGGTAGACTTTCCTTTTTCCATTTCTGGTCAGATGTCACTGAAGCAGTTATCAGTGAACTCATCACCTGCAACTTTGAATTCCTCACACTACACACATAGTGCTGTGTTTACATTGCCTTTCTTTGGCTGCTGTTACCTGGAATGACAGGAAAAGCTCTTAGGAAAATCTAGGCAATAATCCAACCGTTCTTACATGAGGGGGTGGTAGGAGAACAGAAGGAATAAAGGTGTGTGGGAAATCTTCCCTCTTGTTGCTGTGGACTGTAAAATGTGCTTCCAATGTGAGTTGGGTTGGGCCCTTACTACACAAACATTGATCCAATATTCTTAAAGGTCTTTTCCAACCAAAGTGATTCTATAATTTGCTTTTCCAGTGTTGGAATGGTCCACTGAAGCCCTCTGTTACTGCCTTGTAGCTAATTCTGTCCATAATCCTTCAGTTTTGGGGGCTTCTATTTAGTACTTTCTTATGGGAATAACAGCTTTCTATCAGCTTTTTTGCCAGTTACATTTATATCTCTAACTTGGGCAGTTCCAACACCAAAACAGACTGTCACCAAAATAATCTAGGTCCATACCACAGAAAAGTTTTTAGTTCAAAACCTAAAGCTTGAGGTGTGCCATGTGTTGGTCTGGACACTGGGGTTACTGAGTAGGTGTGATGCCAACCTGGTTGTGTGAGAGGAGCAATGTGGGAGTGTGTCCAGCTTTACTGCAATTTAAAATAGTTCTTTGAATATTATTCTGGCTTATCAGTGATGCACACATAGTGGTCTGGAAAATAGCCTTTCCTAATGAGTAACCATGCATGTATTTATCACCTAGAAACAGATGACACAAATGCAGTTGGAAAGAAAGATGATGGCATGCAGTACCGACCAGAAGTGAAAGGTACAGTGCAGACTTTGTGCTTTTTGGTCATGGCTTCACAAGATGAGAAAATAGAGCATGCAAGTCTCTTCTAGTCTGCCTTACAGCTCTGATTCCTGTAACTGAGACAGACCTGTGAACAGCTTCTTTCTTGCAGTGTACTGCAAGGCTTGCAGGAAGATGTGCATGATTTGTAAGTTTTGCCTGCTGTATTCCTCAAAGATGCCCAGCTGTACCCTGTGCAGTGGCCACAGGATTGAACTCTCTCCAAGTGATGTGAAAATTACTTTACTGCAAGACACCAAGCTGTGACATTCCTGATGAAATTACATAGCACAAGCCTCCCTGCCATGATCCCATCTTTTCTGATAACTTCTGGGGAAAATGGATGATTCTGTATTTGTTAGGTTGTTTCAAAATATTTTTAATAAACTAATATGCTGAATCACATTGGTTGAAAATGTTTCACCTACCTTTTAGTAACCTTTAATGCCTCAACTTTTTCTTCATCCCTGCTAGTCAGATGATCATACACATCGAATATCACTCCAATGCTTTCTTTAGACCTCCTGTTGCTGGTAACACACTTGAAAAAGCCCTTCCTGTTATCTTACACAACACTGGACACATTCAGTTCTAAATGAGCTTTGGCCTTTTGTGTCTTCTCCCTGCACATATGAACCACAGCTCTGTACTCTTCCTGTGAAGCCTGACCTTGCTTCCAGTGGCCATACAAATTCTCTTCCTCTTGAGCTCCACAAAGAGCTCCCTGTTCAGTCAAGCTGGTCTTCCACCCCACTTGCTTGACTTACAATGCAGTGGAATTGTCTGCTCCTGTGCTTCTAAGGGCACCTCTTAAAACCTGACCAGCACTCATGGAACCCCTCCAAAGCAGATTGCCAGGGTACTCTGCTAAAGAGCTCCATTAATAGCTTAAAGGATTTTTCTACTGAAATCCAGGGTAGCAATGCTGGTGTCCTTTTTTCTCATTGCACTGAAAGCTCAACCATTAAACTCAACCATTTCATGATCACTGTGGCCAAGACAGACACCTAAAATTACACCCCTCATGAGCTCTCTATTCACAAATAGCAAGCCTAGGAGAGCTTGGTTCACTGAGTACCTCTGACAAGAAGTTATTATCTCCTGCAAATGTCAAGAATGTCCTGTTCATCACAGCAGTATTATATTCCCAGGTGGTGTGTGGGAAGTTAAAGATCTCCCATAAGGACAAGGGCTAGCAATCCAGAAATTTCTCATAATTGCTTATAGAATAAGTCATCAGTGCTCACATCCCGGCTGGGCACTCAGTAGTAGACATCCACTACCACATTTTCCTGTTTTCTATCCCTCTAGCCCTCACCCAGAGGCTCTCAACCACATCAGCACTAACTGTAAGTGCTGTAAAATCACCCCTCCCTTACATACAGTATGATACCTTCAACTTGTCTGCCCTGCCTGTAGCCCTCCACCTCAACACTCCACTTGTGGGACTCATTTTACCAATTCATGCCAATGCCAGTGACAGCTGTGGGAGCTGACCAGTGCTGATAGTTCATCCTGTCTGCTTCTCATACTGTGTGTGTTGGTGTTCAAGCATTTTGAATGTGTTCCTGAACTCTCCATGCTCCCAGGAGCAGTGCAAGTGCTCCCTCTAGCACTTGCTACCCTCAGGTGATGCCATGTGACTTACCTACCACAATGGTGTTAGAATCCCTTTCACCCATCAATTCTGGTTTAAAGCCCTCTCCATCCTGCCAGCTTATGCCCAAAAAGTCATTTTTACCCTTCAGGACAGGTTGGTTCCATCAGGTTCTAGCATACCTTGTATCTTCCACAACTTAAAACCCCAAAGTTCTGGTGAAAACACCAGTCCCAGAGCAAGATATTGACATCCTCGGCTCACCTGTTTGTTTCAAGTTTCCCCTCATTATTGGGAGGAGTGAAGGGAATCACTGTCTGTGTTCCCAAATTTTTTTAGCATTGTCCCTTGGGCTTGTGAAATCTCATTGATTGACCTAAGATTTTTGTTGCTACATGATCATTAGTAGCCATGTGAAAGAGCAGGAATGAATAGTAGTCTGAAGATTGCAATAACCTCTTCAGTCTTGTGATGACATCTCTAATTCAGGTCCCAGGGAGGAAGAAAACTTCCCTGAAAAGAGAATCCAGTCTGCAAATGGATGCTTATATTTTGCACAGGAAGGAATCACAAATGAACATAATTCACTACTCTTTCTCCTCAGTCTTAATGTGGGTTTTGTTGCAAGGGGTAGGTACCTCCTCTCTTAGCTCTGGTATTCAGTTTTTTCTGTCATTATACTTGTTTTGGACTCCCATGGCTTCACTGAGGAAAGCCATCCCACCATGGCTTTCAACATTCCTTGTGTTCTTAGTGAAAAGTCATTCAGTGCCAAAAAGCTTCATATATTTTCTCTTTTCACAAATTCTCTTATTTTCGCTGCATATGATGTACCAGTTGGAGTGATTTAATGTCAATTTTCACTTACATTATGATAGTATAAAAGGCACAAAATGCAATATACATCTTATTATGTAATGTAATGAAACACCACTTTCAGTTCCTATTCCAAAGAGGTAACAGCCTTTTATTCATTGCATGTAAATTGCCCTTTAAATCTAGTTAGTGGAAAAACCATTGTATATAATTATTATTATTAATGTGTATGGCTTTTGCAGTCTCACATTCAGCAAATGATGTGCATGAAGAGAGTATGCTTCACGAAAAAGATTGTTTTGAATTTTTTTTAATATAGGACTCAGGTCTCTTCAGATAGTGAGACCCTGAAGTGAACTTCTTTGAATTGTTTTTTTTTCATCCAGGATAAGAGAACAGTCCACACTCCCACCTGTTTGCTTTTGCTTTCAGTTCCTGTGAGTTACTCTTTTTAAACTCTGCTCTCTGAATGGATAACATCTTTCAGTCTCTAGAACTGTGACAGTCTCTTCCTGCAGTGCAAGTGGCTACCTAAGTTCCATCAGAAAGGTCTCTCTTCTCCGATTCATCTAGCTTGGTGGTTTTGTTGCACCAAGATGAGCATCAGGGTTTAATTTTTATGCATGACTCTTCCTTCTGGTGAAGTATTTGAACTCCTATATCCAGTCACTCTTTCAAGGCTCCTACACCAGTTATATCTTTTACTTTGAAGCTCAGAAACAGTCTAGCAAATCTCTCAGATTAAAAATGGATTCCTGTCAAAAGGGGGGTAAATGTCTATTTTACACTAGAAATCACCTCCTGCATTTAACATCTCCTTGCTTAATATAAGTTCTGCCTCTGACCTGTGTGTGGCTGTCTGGCCACTTTTCAGGGGACGCACCTTTCAGTTTTCCACTGGGCCTCACAGTCTGTATCAGTATATGTATTAAAACCAGATATGGTGCAACTCTCTGAACATACTAATATTACTGTCTGTAGCTCATTACAAGGTTTGATTGGGACCACATATGACAATTCTTGGAAAAGGAGGGTGTTGATAGTTTTGGGATGAGACATCCCCACTTTTCTCCTCTTAGACATGTCATGACATAGTCTATTCCATCAGTGCAGTGGTGGACGCATTGTCAGTATTAGTCAATATTTTTCCCTTCTATCAAGTCATCTGTATCTTCAAAACAACCTGAGTTAGAAGGCTTCCTCATAGCTAAAATCTGTAATACAGGGTAGGGGTTTTTTTTCTCGAGAACCAAATTAAAATACATTCTAGACATTTTTTTCAGAAAAAAAAAACAAACAGCAGCATATCTCTTTTTGTCTTGTAAAAATGCATTCTGTTTCTTGCTGGTGTCATTTCAAATATCTGCAATTGTATAAGAGATTTTTTTTCCTCACAGCCCTTTTTGCTTTATAGTTTTTTATTTGCGAAGCTATAGTCTATTGCCATGGAAATGAACAAAATTCCATAATTACACTCACATCTTAAGATCCCTGTCCTTCAGAGAAATTCATTATTAAATACCAACTTCTGCTGACAATTTACAAAAAAAAAAATGGGGAAAAAATGGTTGAAAATGAACACAGCTTTGGATAGTTTTGGTAACATGATAGAAGCATGAAAGATGTTGGGGCAGAAGGGACTGCCTTCCTATGCTGGGCTGAGATGGACAACAACTAAGTGCCCACCAGTTACTTGCTCTATCCCAGCTTCCCTCAGAATGATAGAAGAGAGAATCAAGAAACCACACACGAGAAAAACTCATTGGTGAAGCTAAAGGCAGTTGAAGAAGCAAAGTCGGGGGTGGGGGAAGAGGAAAAAAACCAAGTGATGCAAAAGCTGTCACTCACAATATCCCATCAGCAGGCTGATGACCAGCCAGCCTCTGAGCAGCTGCCAACTTGGAAACTATAGTTTTTATTGCTGAGCACGATGTCATATGGTGTGGGATATTCCTCTGGCCAGTTTGGGTCAGCTGTCCTGGTTGTGTCCCCTCCCAAGCTCTTGCCCACGCCCACTCTTCTTGCTGAGGAGGGAAGCAGAGTGAGAAGAAGTCTTGATGCTGTGTAAGCTCCCTTCAGCAGCAGCCAAAACAGTGTTGTGTTACCACTATTATTTCAGCCAGAAATCTAAACCACAGCACTCCATCAGCTGCTGTGAAAGAGGTTAACTCCATCCCAGCCAAAACCAGCACACCTCCCAAAGGAATGGGTATTTTAAACACATTTCAGTATTTTTAAGTTCTGTCTCCATAAAAGTGTTTCTCTGAGGAGGACTGCTATTGAAGTGTGTTTGATTTCAACTTTAATCACCGGTGGTACCAATCAGATCTGGTCGTATCAAGTGGTTTTCTACCCAGTAATCATAAAATGTGGTTCAGCATCTTTCTAATCCTTTTTAGAGGGTTCTTTTTCATCTGTTTACACATGGGAGAGAGCTCTCTGTATCTGTGTATTAGCTCTTTGCCCCAGTGCCACTGACAAAGCTTCTGCTGATCTTCCTGCTTTGACTTGTTTCTGTGACAAACACTTTTCTCCTTTTTAAGAAACCTGATATAAAAAGCATATTGAGATGTCTCTGAGGATCATTTTCGGTGCAGTACATTCTAGAAAATCTCTGTAGGTGCCTCTGAAACTTCCCCCTTAAGCCTCTGCTTTATTATTCTTTATTCCTTTATTCATTGTAAGTTTTTAAGGGCATGCTATTCTTGGTTGAGTTTTAAATTATCATCATAGACCCATGTATAATTGTTTATGTATATTTCTTTTTCAAGACGCCAGTGATCAAAGAGAAGACATTTACATTGGAAACCACATACCTTGTTCAGAAAGCTTCAATGGTTACTGTATACATGGAAAATGTGAATTCATTTATTCCACTCAGAAGGCTTCCTGCCGGTAAGTCCTTCATGTCTCCAAAATGGGATTGAAATCACTGTAAAGCTTAATCAAAATGCTCTCTAGACACAATGACAGGATATATCACTTTGACAGGAGTAGCATCCCTGTGCCATGGGCAGCACCCAGCTGCCCCAGTCAGGAGGGAGATAGTGCTCAGAGGAGAGGCTCAGTCCGTTGGGTACATCAGAACCTGAATCCCTCTGAGGAGTGTAGCCTCAGTGGTGTCTTCTTATTTTCAGCTACTAAATCATATCCAGAGCTAAAAAAACAAACAAAACAGACACACATTAAAAAGGCCTTTGCCTTGCATGGCTTCTCTCTATGATTGTTCTTTCCTCACTGACCTCGCAGCCTGTTCTTACACTATCTGTACATTTTATTGTTCCTGTCCTAAACTCTCTCTAGAGAATCAATACCTTATTTTTAACATTTATTGCCCTTTTTCACAATAATAGGTTTCATCTAGGGAATAAAAAATTGCAAAATATTCTTTAGCCCTCACCCTTTGTCTATGGTGTAAACTAGCAACTCAGAACACACAGTATTAAGCCCTTTAGTGTTACCCAGAATATATTCCTTAGCTCACAGATAACTTTTTTCTTTACATTTCACCAATCAAATTCTGTATCTTTGTTTTCCTCCAAAATTTATTATTATTATTATTATTATTATTATTATTAAAGTTGTTTATAGCAAAAGGCCACTTTGCAATAAGATTCAGTGCCCTACTTATTAGGAGGTTTCAATCCTGAGCTTTTTATCTTGCAAGCTTGTACTTTCAGATTAATGTGGCTGAAACTGCTATAACTATTTTCTTTCCTTTGCTTTTGAAACTTCAGCCGTAAATCCATTGGATACTTTCATATTTTCTCCCTTGATCCTTATTGATTGATGATATTTAGGTGTTTTTTGCACTGCCAAGATTTAAGGATTTCCAGACAGATCAGAGAGCAGGAAGCCCAAACGGCAGAGCCAGTATGGTTGTCAACTTAGGCACTTGAAAGCTTTTATTATTTCTTTTATTATGCAAGACCCTTTCTTGTTTATTTTCACCTTTCCACCAGGAATGTTTGGTTTTCTTTTCATCTGGAACCCAGAGAAGTCAACATGGCTTTGCTTCTCTTGGGAAACTGGGTGCATCCTCAACATCATCTTGATGGGCATTAGGCAACACTATCCAATTACAGTCTTCTTTTGATCCAGAACTGTATTTAACACAATTTATAATGTATTTGTCCTCAAAATGTTTATAGTAGCAATATTTCAAGGAACACATTCCTGTCTGAATTAACTAATTTTTATTTTCTCTAAATTTTTTTCTGGAAGGTGCTAATCTCATAGTAATTTGTCAATTTATGATTCAGTGTCAATTCAATCTTTAAAATATTAATTATTACTCTAGTAAGTATTGATAGTCAATGTTTTGATGAATTTAATTAACGTGCCATCCTTTAAAATTCTATTTTGTAGTTACATTTACTTTTAGTACCTCCACTTATGTATTTAAACAGTCTGAATAATATCTCAGTACTGAGCCTAGCACAACAAACCTCACGTGGTTCCAGTCAAGAATTTGTGACTATCAGCTCTTGACCCTGAGTATCTGATCTCCTTTAGATTTTTCTTGGCAATTAAAATACTGATGGTCTCATGCTTTATGCATGTTTCTTCCTGGAGCAGAGTTATTAAGGAAACAAATAGTTTATAACAGACATCAATCTGCTGTAGTAATCATGTACCTCTATCAGAGAAAAAAATTCTCTCTTTCTCCAGCAAGGAAAATATAATGATGGATGCTAAAGGCAAATTGTTATTTTCAAATGCTTTCAGTTCTCATACACATCTAGCATATACACTTAAATTTGGTCCTCATTTCCTGGCAGAAATGTATGTGAGGTATCGGATGACCTATAAAACTGCAGAAAATACTTGCACAGAGCAAATTCTGAGTTCTGCTTTCACTGAGGGCAATGAATCTCGTTGCTTATTGTACAGCAGCCCTCCAGGACTGCCAGCAGGCAGGTGGGAAGAAGGCTTTGTAGCAGTCAGTTGCACAGTATTGAGTTTAGCAGCCTTTGTACAGATGGGATCAGGTCTGTCTCCTGCTGCCCCCCTTGTGCAGTGCAGTTCTGCCCTGTCCTTATGGCAGGCTCTGTCAAGGACACACAGTGCAGCCCTTTAAAAAGAAATCTAAACTTCTTTATGCTAAATCAATTAATTGATTGATCAGCTTGTTTTGATAAATCCTTGCTGACCTCTATTGATCTTGCTGTTATACTAATGCCATATTATCTTGTTACACATTTATGCAGCAGAATGCTTTAAAATCTGTTCTAAAATGGTTTAAGGTAGAAAACTAGTGCCTACTGCTTCATCCTGCCATGATGTAATTCTTAATGCAAGCACTTCTTCTCCTGAATCTCCATTCAGTATTTCTCAGAAATAATTTCTTGTAATTTTCAGTGTTTCTGAGGAAACATCTTTGAATTCCTCGTGCCTTCTCTGCCTTGTTTTGCCTCCTCTGCATTAAAGCAGCTCTCACATTGATAATACTTCATCTGCTACTTTCTTTAATGAAAACAAAAGCAAAGTAACAATAAGATTTAAGTCCTTTTGACTAACAAGCAGACCTCTTCCTTTTTGTGTCTTCTTGCATGATTAGCAGTGTGTTCATGGTCCTCATTCTTCTTGTATGCTTACACAGGGCTCTCTTTATTCCCTTCGTGGCTACCACTGGGCACACTTTCAGTACATGGAAGGTTTTCTTTAACAAGTCTTACCAGAATTTGGTTCATGCCTGAACCAAAACTCCTTACACAGCATCTCATGGCTGGAGAAATTAGAGCCACAAGATTATGAACATGTAAACCCCAACTATTATCCCTGCATGCAGAGGGGGATTAGGAGTTGCATTTGCAGTTGTAGAAAGGTCTTTGGTGTAATTATTTTGTTGCTCCAAACAGAACTAATTCCTACCCTAGCACAAAGCTTTTGAATGGGTGAATCTGATTTTGTGTTGCATTCGGGCTTGTCAGATCCAGTTTACAAAAGGATTGTTGCTCTACTTCTATGTGAGTATTTCTTTTCCAGCTGTAGAGCTAGAGGCCAATTGTATGATTCAGTTGTCCAGAGCGATGCATTTGTGTCAGTAGATTCTAGAAGACAGCTGCACAAGGAACTTGCTCAGGGTTCTAAGTGGTGGCCTTTGACTCTGCAGACTTCATCTCAGTATTTTGGTTGGCTCTTGTGTTTTCTTGTGCTTCAGCCTCTTTTGCCTTGAGACATGAATTTTTTCAGAGTGTGTTTGCACTGGCACATCTTGCATTGCCGGAATATGTCACTGCTCAGGAACAGCCTCTGCTGAGTTTCTCATTGAGCTAACTGCTGCTTTGCTCAGGCAAATTACCATTTAGAGAGCTGCTTCTCTTCTGCTTCCAGCTATTTCTCCCCCACCCAATGCAAATTTTTTTTTGATTCTTACTTGAACTCTCACTTGAACAGTTGTGAGCCATTGGGTTTTCTAAGCTGACCTCCATCAAATTCTGACTCAGCCACAAGGCAGAAGTGGGTTTGGTGCTAGTCTTGTCCAGTAGATTTTACAAGATTCCACTTCTCTAGGTTACAGCTTGAAAAGAGATATTCTTTTTTCAAGGTGATTTTCAACCCATATTTCAAGGTTCCCCTTCCTATTTGTCACTTGTCCCATATTGACAATGGAGCTGAATGACTTGTGCTCTCTCTGTGTTTCATGAGCATGCATGAAATTCTTGTATTTCATTTAGCCTTGTCTACTTGTCTTCCAAGTGTTTACTTGTTCTACCCAGTTGCTTCACTTTTCCTAAATGTTGTACCAATATAATAATGACCCCCATATTTCTTTTGACAAATCAGGGCCTTCCCCAAGCTGTTGTTTTCAGAGGGCCACTAGTAACCTTATCCAGAAAAAGCAGAGCATATTTACTTGCTCTGTCTCTTCTCTTGCCACACAAATCCAAACCATTCCCTAACCCCAAGTATTATCTCACGTGCTCCTGCTCACCCAGCTCTTTCTCAGCTGGAGTCACCTTGGATTTCTCAATTCATCTGCAAAATGACTGGGGTGCTGTTAAATTACAGATTCCATGAAATATTCCTTTTCTTTTTCAGGTGTGAATCAGGATATACTGGACAGCACTGTGAAAAGACAGACTTTAGTATTCTTTATGTTGTCCCAAGTAGACAAAAGCTTACGCATGTCCTTATTGCAGCAATAATTGGAGCTGTACAGATTGCCATTATAGTTGCAATTGTCATGTGCATAACCAGGTAGGTAAAGACAAAAACAGTGAAAAATTACACATTGCATGGATATAGTTTTTCTGTATTTAATTATATGATGCCCAAAATGTTATTTGCTTAATACCCACTTAAAAACTACCTAATGACTGAAGCAGGATGATTTATGTAACATCCTATCCGCCCCTTTGTTTCTTTGGTCACAAAAGACAGATTTGTTTGAATTCAGAAACCACCAGTAACTCTGAATCTCCAGACCAAATACACAGCAGAACAGATCAGCCTTGAAACAAATCCAAGAGTTAAGCTACTCTGTTAGACTTTCATTGGACTTATTGAAGCATTGCTGAAATTTTGTGGAAGCTATGATCCCCAGCTACCACTCAGTGAAACCAGAGAAGCTGACAAGATGCTGTTCCCTGTGGTACCACTGTAAATGATTTTACACAGAGAAAGAAGTACCTCTCTCACCTTATATGTTTTCTGAAAATCAGTGTGCAACTTACTGCTGTTATTAGACACTCACCAGAAGAACCTGTTTTATGAAACTTAAAGACACACACACAAGCACAGAGTTCAGGTTTCTGGGTTGTTTCAAATTCTCACCCTGTGTAAAAACTGAGATGAGAGCCATGGGTTCTTTTCAATGACAAGACATTCTGTTCTAGGACTGGAAACAAACAAGCACTGAGGTCTCTGAGATAGACTAAGGATGACTTAGTTACCATATAGGTATATGAAGTAGTTAAGTCTTACACTTAGACATCCGTGCCACAGTGTGACTTCACTTTTTCAGCTCCACTTACATGGGGCAATAGAACTTTCTGCTACTGCATTTGTTTACAGCTCCCAAAACTCAGTGATGTAGAGGGACACTCCATGAATGAACAAGATAGGCCTTTTTCCCTGTATCCCTTTTAAGGTTCAAACCTTAACAGACACTAGCATATGTATAAAACACCACCTGCACATGTAAAAGAGTTACTTGGCTCATGCAATTGATGCCATTCCCTTTTTCACACAACATCTTACTGGACAAAGTGGTGTAGAAGGCTATGGTTCACCTCTCCTTTCAGCCTCTGTATGACCATTCCCTAGCTCTCAGTCTCTCTTGCTGTATCTCAGCAGGACTACTCCATCATTCATTGCCTGGCTGACTAAGTGCCATTCCATTCAGGATTGCTGGCTTTTGTGAATCTTTTTAGTTGTGTGTCTGGCCCCAAGAAAGGGATCACCAGAGTCATCCCACGGAGAGACCTGTGTGGGCTCTGTCTCATGGGCTGCTGTGAGCAGCAAGGCACCTGGAGGTCCAGCACTTCAAAAGGCTGATTGATCCAGTCTCACCATCCACTGGGTTTTAAATATGAAATATGTATAAGGTAAAGCTAACGCAATCATTCCCCCAGGAATGTGTTTGCTGGATCAAGGCTGAAGGGTGTAGCACCTTGCTGGTTTCAGTCTCTGGGTCAAGCAGGGCTCCCTTCTGAATGATCTGAGGTCCTACAGACATTCCCAGGACACAGTCCAGTACTGAACAGCAGGAGCATCCCACCTGTCAGCACAGATCATAGACTCCTTGCTATTGTTATGTACAGAAAATTAAGTCAATGCATGATTGCTAGGCTCAGTTATATGTGGCATATATAAAATCAGCCCTCCTTTCCTATTTCTCTCTTTTGTTTAACAGAAAATGCCCCAAAAACAATAGAGGACGTCGGCAGAAGCAAAACCTAGGCCATTTTACTTCAGATACATCATCCAGAATGGTTTAACTTAGTGCTTTTTATACCTACATTGACCATGTGATGTACATTTTTATTATATCTTTTTTTAAAGAATGGAAATATTTATTTCAGAGGCCTTATTTTTGAACATTTTTAGTGTAACAATGTTGGTCTGTATTCTGAAAGCATCAGCTCTAACAGCTATGGACTGTTTTAGTATCTTCGCTTTTATGTTTTTGAATACAGTAGTTCATTTTCTGTATCTGTATCACATGGTTATATAATAGACTTGTGCTTTATCCATGGAATGTAATATTTTTGGGAACACAGATTTATTCCAATAATGGTTGTAGACTTAAAAAACCCCCAACAAACCAACAAAATAAGTCCACATTACCTAACAAACAAGGCATGAACTAAAGGTAAAAATGTTTACAGCTTACTTTTCTTATGAGGAACTAGAAAACACTGTGTTTAAATACCGTAGATATTTAAATGTTTTTGGAAGTTAGTAACTGATTTTTTAGACACTGCCTATCGCATGAACTGTGAAGCTGTGTGCTGTGTGTAGTTGTAACATATTTATAAAATGTGTGGGCTGGGTCTAAACACTGCCATCTTCATAAATAATTCCAACAATTTATTTTTAAAGATGAAAATTATAAATTTCATAATTTGGGAAGTTACCTGGTAGAACAGATGGCACAGGTCCAAAAGAAGTAGGTCTTAGTAGATTTAGGCATTGTAAAAATTGGTGTTGAATAATTGAACACAAATAATTGGAATAAAGCCTACTTTATCACTATTAAAACTGTTTTAATACTTCTTAAACTTTTTTAAAGAAAATACATGTTTTAACACCTACAATACAGATTGTATAGTGTTTGTGATTAAAATTTAAAAAAAAATAAAAGTGAATGAATTACTAGTGCTCTTGTATAGAGTATTTTCAAGAGCTAAAGAAGTTCCATCCAAATTAGTCTGCTGGTCATAGTTATATTAATAGACTGTTAGTTGTCGTTTGAAAGATCCCAAGATAAAGTGTGAATAGGATGTGTTCAGCTGTTTTAACATGTAGTGTAGGCTTTCAGAATTTTGCATGTAGGATTTAATAATTTGTTCAATAAAAAAAAAGAAAATGCTTTCAACATTTTGAACTGGAAAAGCATGTCACAATACAACGTTTTCACTATATTGCCTCTGGTTTAGTGTGTTTATTTGTTACCCCACGGGGTAATTGCAGCAAGCTGAAGACCTGAAATTGTTTTGCCGGAAAAGAAACAACCGTGCTAATTTTCCTGACCGCTTTTTGAATTCCCTCAGAGGAAAGCACTCCAGTAACACGAAAACAAAAGTAGATCTTTAAAAATATGCAAGTTTGCTTTCCTGCTTAATTAGCAAGTTACTTAACTTTCCTGGATTAACGCTAATAACTTCATCGGTACAGAAGCGTGACCCTTTAAACGTATGTTCCTTTCCAGATATTGCTTCCTAATTTTAGGGGTTTCATGTTGCTGAAAGTATCTGAGCAATCATGTGTGGATATTTTGTAGTCAGAAGTATTTGACCAAGCTCCAGGAGCAGCGTTTCACGCCCTACTTTGAGCATCGCCGGAGCCAGCTGTCGCCCTGGCTCCCTGCAACAGCGCCAGAATCGTTCTGGCAGGATCACCGAAACTTCGCCTCCCTCCAACCTGGCTGAAGGCAGGCAGAATGGATCGCCGCGAAATCACCTCGGAGGCTGACAAAACGCACCAAAACCGCCTCTCCAGCGTCATCGAGGAGGAAGAAGAGCAAGATGCAGCTTACACCATTGTGACAGTCCTGGACAAAGTGGCCAACATTGTTGACAGCGTGCAGGCAAGCCAGAAAAGGATAGAGGAGAAGCATAGGGAGATGGAAAATGCCATCAAGACCATACAGATTGACATTTTGAAGCTTGCCCAGGCCCATGGCAATACAGGCTTCATGGTGGACAAGTTACTGCAGAAAACCAGCAAAGTCAGCTCCACCATGAAGGAGGTGCGGGCGCGCGTGGAGAGGCAGAGCACCAGCGTGCGGAAGGTGGAAGCAAAACAAGAGGAGATGCTGAGAAAAAACAAATTCCGGGTCGTGATCTATCAGGTAACCACGAACCTAATTTCCTGTGGTATTGTCACTTTGCCACCTCTTTGGTGATTTCTGGTAGGTGCTGGTTAACAAAGCAAAAGGTGCAGTCTGTCGAACATAGGAGTTATTTTATGCTTTCTTTAACGCTGATCTGTGCTCCCCAATGCCTTTCAGTGTGAACCTACTGGCAGCAGCACACAGGGTCTATTATTAGTGCGGGTAGGTTTCTGAGCCAGTCGTCTAAGATTAACTGCAGATCAGCAAGGACTATTTGCTGCCTGTCCGAAAGGTAATATGAGGCAGCCCCTGTAAAGCTTGTCATACAAACCATGCCTGACATTCATCTCTGTTATTTTTTTCACCGTATTAGGTAGAAATGCAAATAGCCAAAGTGTTTTCAGGCTCCTTGAAATGCAGACTTTCTTCTAACACTAATTTCAAAACACGGCTTATTTAACTTGCAGCATTGCCCAGGCTTTCATACTGCTGACAAATTGGGACTTTATTCATTGTCTCAGTGTGTAGCAGTATATGTACAAACTAAAGCTTAGACCCACAAACCCTTTAAGACAACAAATACTCCCTTGCATGTTCTACCTTGGAAATGGTTTAATATAGTACTGTTCATTCAATCACAGTGGGCAAGGAAATCATACAGCTTCTTTCACTGACCTTAATCTAGGATGTGCATTGTACATTAAAATAATTGCATTTGAAGAGAAGTTTCTTGAAACAGCATGGTCTCACTTGCATCCATACAAACACTGCAGACAGTTCTGGGGTCTTGTCAATGAGTGCTGTGAAACCTATTTGTCTAATCGTCTGATCCTGCCTTTGCTGAAACTTCCCAGCTTCCCAGAAGGTCAGTAGAAAGTAAGTGTTTGATCTTTTGCCAGAAGCATAGTTGCTCCTTTTTTACCAGCAAGTCGCCAAGGCTTCTTTCAAATGAGTTGTATTTCTCATCAGGCATTCTTGAAAATACCACCCCTCATGAGTAACACAATGCACCCCCATCACTCAGCTTTACACCCTGGTCTTGCATCTGTTTGTACATAAATAACATCATTTGCAATGAATGGAGCCATGTGTTTCAATGAGTTTATTCGCCACCATGTACAGCTGACAAATTCTTCATAACCTAGCTTTCTTAAATAGTTCATTTTCCACTACTTGGACAAAAAAGCTGAAAATAAAAAAAGAGAAAAGGCTGAAGGTAGGGAATATTACCTCTTTAATGTTATGTTTAGTACCATATACAGCCAAATTGTGCCTCCCAGATTTTCTGACTGAATGACTTAATACGGCTGTTCAGTAGAAAGAACAGGCCAAATCTGTCCTATTATTACCATTATTGCAAGCTGCATCATCATCATGGAATAGAAAATAGGTACTTTCACTTTTTGCTTGCAAATAATTTCCCAGCTAAAGGTAATAAATCTCTGTGACTCCTCTGGTTAATGGCATAATGCCATTTCATTGGTGGGCCTTTACCATAATGACTGCAGCAGAATCAACGCTTTGAAAAGATTTTTTCTTAAAATAGTATCCATTACATGATGTAAATTTTTCTGCTAGCAAGACATGAGCTGTTGTTTATTTAAAAATATAGTCAAAATGGATTTACACACAGGTGTAAAGAACAGCCATTGGTATTTTCAGTTATTTCATACAGAAGGTGGCTCTCCCAATGTGTGCTTTCTCTAAGAATCCCCTTCAGTAGGAGTTTATGATCTCTCTGCTGGTTTTGTTGGACAAGAATGACTTGCACCCTGTTCTGTAGGTTTAAGTGGTACTTTTCAGGAAGGGAAACAGCATTTTTTGTTTTCTTTCTGTCTTCCTCTTCCTCCAGTGGTTTAGAACTGTCAATGAGAATATGAATGACTTTGTCCTTAACTTCCATTCCTTCTGTAAGGTAGATTATACAACCTTTTCCCACTTGCATGGAGGAGAGGCAGATATGTGGATCTCTCTAGGATCCACCATTTAACATTTTTCTGGAGAGGGATAACTGCAGCACTGCACGAAACCTGGAACAGTCTAGGCAGGCAAGAGTGCAGGCACAGGTACACTTAGGAAGGTCTCTTTCACACAAGTGCAGTGATTTTTCACACTGCTGATTTACACCAGGGTAGGCACAGTGCTGCAGTGCCAAGACCTGAATGACTGGAGCTTGGCTAGGATGAGTGGGAGTCTGTTAATAGCCAGGGAACCAGCGTACTCCCTGTGCTATACGTTACAGATGGATACAACCAAGTTGTTTACTCTGTGGCTGTGATTGACAGCTCTTCTGTAGTGAGGTTTATTTCTGATGAACTATTTGAAGCATTGTGAGGGGGCCAATGACCCGTGTGTTGCTGGTATGGAATCTTTACACGGGTGAGCACATGTGGGTTTTAGTTTTAACTTTTGCCAGAACATCAGGGTATGAAGAAAAAGGAAACACCAATTAAATACTAAAGATTTTCTTTCAAGTGGAGAGCTTTGATCTTATCATTGATGGAGGGAGTAGGCAGGTTGAAAAGGATCATTGGCTGAAGGAGATTGTCCCAAGAGATCTCAGCAATGATGAAAAGAGTTGGCGATATCCTCACATTAAAAAAAGACAAAGTGATCGTCCTTTAGCAGAATGATTAGGGAATTGAGAGAAGGCCTTGTGGTTGAGGAAAAGATTTGGTAGCAGGCAGCTCTCCTCCCTAGGCTGACTGCATGATTAAAAATGCCAGGTTACTTCAGACTTTCTAGTGAAGTCTTTGACCCTGGAGTGCTATGTGCCCTGGGACTATAGCAGGGAATAAAAAGGATGTTGTAGGTTATACAGGTCACTGCTCATTTCTGTTCAGGTTAGTCTGAATAACCAGCTGTAAGAGCTATAATTTCTCTGAAGTCAAAGAGCATTTAACAGTTTAAATCATTCTCACTAAATTATTCAGAAATAAAAGGGGATAATTTTTTTACCTTGAATGAACTTGTTTCATTTGCTTTTCTGCACGTTCTGCAAGCCCCTATTTAAGTGTACAAGCACCAGGAAGTCCACGTTACTGTTACTGGATTTTTGTCTATTATTGCTTCACATAAGCACCATAAATGAGTAACTGCTTCCTATGAAGGGAGACGTGCATTTGTTTCACTCACATGCTCACAATGCTCACTCACTCACAATGCTGTCTGGCATTTAAAATTAGTGGATGTGTCAAATACCAAGTAAGATTATGGCTTGACTGACCTACACAGTAGGGTTACAATGGATTTGTTTGCCCTGTGGTTTCTCCACTGCACACACAGGGAGAGGCTCACAGGAGCAGCCTTGTGTATGCTGCTGACACTGTGCATAAATAAGTTAAAATGTGTCTTCTCTTGCCCACCACCATTCTGTAGTTATAATGACTAGGACAGTAAGGACAATGAGATCACAATGGGGATAATAATCTGGAAACCTGAGGTGGAAGCACCTTCATCTGAAGTGGCAGTAGAAATTAGGGTGTCAGAAGTCAGGAGATTGCCATTAATTTGGTACCATTTGGGCATAAGAATAGCAAGCTCAAAAATGGCCCTGCAGAACAAAATCCTTAGTAGCATGGAGTTAAAGAGCTCACCCAGAGCAGATTGTGCTCTGTGGCTCATATTTGATAACTTTTTTTGTTCTGCAGAAACTACTTGGGTGGTCTTATCCTTTCTCGTTATGTATGTACCTGGTATCTTACCTCATAACAGATAGTCTGGAAAAACAACAGGTGGCAGTGCATTGTATTGAAATGTGAAGTGAAGCTTGCAATGGGTTTCTGAAAGTGTGTTTCTATGGCTGTCTTTGTCAACTGTATAATATGTTCCTTGAAAATCTTGGTACAGAAAAGGTGACAGTAAAAAAAACGTGTTCAAAATTAGAAGCTGTCAGTTCGTAGAAAGAAATATAATAAAGAAACCAAATTACTTTTACAGCTGGAATAATGTTAATTTTAGTGTACATGGTGCTAATTCCTGTACTTTTAGCTCTGATCTGAAACCATAAATGAATGTCTTTAGTCCTGGAGACAACAGGGTTC